AATAAGTATTGCAATACTTTAGAAAAAGTAAATTGGGATTCATCAGTTTTTTGGAGTAATGACCACAGTACTGCTCAGTGGTGTGGGGTTGTTGGAACAAGAGGACTTCATGTATTTATGTGGTTCCTATGACTCGAGGTCAGGGTCCAAGCTTGGTGCATTGTCCATCATCCTTTTGCTCCCCAAAAAAAAATTGTTTTTGTTGAAAAAATGTGTAATATTTATCATCATTCTTTTAATCTGTATCTGTTCGGATCATGTCTTTACGTCTTTTTTTCCCTTTCATTAATTTGCAAGGCATACTTGACAGGTTGCCAGAGTGTGAAAATCACCTGAAATTATCCCACTTAGAGTATGTATATAAGATTTCTTTTTTCACCACAATTATCTCCTCATACACCTGTCACATGTTATACAGGTTCAGTGGTCAGTGAACAACAGTGAGAATGTCTGCGCCTTATTTCCTCTGTCGGAAAATTGGGATTGGCTTCGGTGCATGATGGCATTGTTCTGGTCCCCTTCCTCCTGCTGGATGATTGTTTGTGGGCCCGTGGTGACACATTTTCTCTGATCATCCTAGATGTATTTTGTGGTGTTGATTTTGTATTAACAGAACCAGAGATGGTCTGGGGCAGATTTGGTTTGTGCACTGTGAAAACCAGCTCCAAACATTTTGATTTCTGTCATTTTCTGCTCCATTTGTGGTCTAGTTTCATTTACAAAAATGTCACCCAAGAGTAAAAAGTAGAACATCACACTGTGGTGCTTTAATTCCTGCTGTTGGACATCATCAGATGTAATCATAACAAATTTAGCAGTGTCAGTATTGGTATTAGGGGACCTGAAAAAATTAGAACATATTGCTTCAGCTACCGACACTGTGTCATTGCAGAGCCTCACTGTGCCAGAAATAAAGGAGGGGTGGTTTGATATGAAGTCGCGTAGATGCCAAAAGCGTCTTGCTAAAGAAAAGCAGTCAGTGATTTATTCTAGATTGGAGTTGAGAGATGCACAATAGAATACTACCGTATATGGAGGCTGTTACATAAAGATCCTAAAGCAGCTGTTGAATTTAATAAGTTTTCATGTCAGAATACTCATGGCCTTACGAGAGGCAACGCCAAAGGCACCAAATCTTTTGTAGCTGCACAGGAACCTTCACAGATGTATTTTAAGCTTCAACAGCTCCAATAATCACTCAAAAGTCAGTGATTCCATCTTTCAGTCTGTGCTATAACAGAACGTATATAATTACAAGATGCTGATGCAATTAAAATTGCCCTTTACATATAGCTGCTTTATAATTAAATCATAACTTTATTCAAATTGATTGTGTGCTCCCTGCTGAGTTTTACACTTTTCAAAAACATGCTTCAGTTTTCCAACAAAGAGCAACAACGCTAGAAATGCAATGTTCAGTACAACTATTCTGCAGCAATAAATTTAAACCCCACTCCCCCCCTGCAAAGTCTTTGCTCCGAGTGTTGCCAAGACATGGAGTAATGCTATTTTCGGTTTGTGCTTTTCTATGAAAGCACGCGTTCAGGAAGTGTAGACACATGCATGATGTCAGTCGGAAGGTGTTCATCAGATTTTGCATCCTTCCCTTATCCTGTCACATATGCCTCTCAAAATACAGCTCTTGCTCTGTCAGTCTCCCCAGCCCCCCACCCCACACACACACCTTAAAATAAAGACACAACGACAACCTGGCATGTGGCAATGGCAATTCGGCAGCCTGGCAAAGGACATGAATCACGAGAGGTTTCCAAAAAAGCCTCGAGCTGTCAAAGAACGGAGGCAGTCAGGCTACTGAGATGTGCCTTCTCATTCAATTAAGGCAGCTGGGAAATATTAAAGTGTGTAGTAACGGGTCAGGTTGCATTCATGCTGCACTGCTGCCTCTTCTTGTCTCGATTCAGACTGTTTATCATTGTATTTTTATTTGGTTGGAAACCCCCACAGTGTTTGCTTTATTTCACTGTAAAGCATTTTCCTTGTTGCGTATGGCCTGCTTCACACTCTGTTGTAGGTAAATTAGAAATAATAAAATTTGAGATGATGTTTAATTGCGATAGATATGGCGTGGTGTTCCGTGGAATGAAGTGCTTTAGCAGCTTAATATACCACAGGGTTCCCTATTAGCGTACCGTGTCCGATGAGAAAATAAATGGCGCCAGCTTGAAGCTTGACACACACCTGTTCCCAGCTGTAACCACACCACAGCATTTGTTTGCCTGTCACCTGCAATGAATTTCAAAGCTGTTATTCCAGCAGTGTCACACCCCTGATAGGATGTGATTCTCACACTTTTTATTTAAAGGTTGACATGTGACCCCGTCAAGCTGAAAACATCTTTACTCCTCCGCTTTTCTTTGACTTTGAGGTCTTTGTTCTTCGTTCGTGTTTTTTTTCCCTCCTCTTCGCTTGCTCGGAGTAACTCTGCCAAGCGTGCTCTCCCGGTGACGCATTATATGGGGGAATTTACAAATGTGTTTGTGCTGAACAGAAAAGGTTGCTGCTTTGTTTAAAAAGTCTTCCTCTCTACTTGTTCCTCTCACATGTTCCCCTCTTTACTCATTCCTGTTAATGGTTACAAGTGTCGTGCCACTAATGGGTTGCCTGGTCCCATTCAAGGTAACTGGATGAGTGAACAAACATACTGCTGCTCCATATGTTGCACTTTTAGCATCTTGTGTCAGTGGGAGCAAAAGCAGACTCGCCTGTCAGGATATGATGGACTTAATTACATTCAGCTCTTTATGGACAGCTGGACTGTCTCCTGTTAAATTCAAATAATTTCAATAATAAATCACTACTAGAAGTCACTGCGGCTCCAGCTCTTGGTGTTTGTTCTGAGTCAGGGTGGGAGCAGATATGACTTTCAAAAAAGAGAAAACAGTTCTTCTGAAGTAAAAAGACATGTTTATGACTCTGAGCCCAACACACAATCATAAGATGGTAGAAAATAGAGCTGAAGTGTAAAAACTAGGGGGTTTTTTTACAGTTAAATGTGTGAAGGGCAAATAAGAAGTGAGCTGTAGACGGCTGTACAGTTGTAAGTGTCTGTTATGTTGGACCTGTATGAGACGGATGACTCAAAAATGTGTCTAGATACATCCAGTGTGAACAGCCTGTTAGTACCTTTCAAACTGCCCTGCAGGGTGATTTCAATCATTCAGTCCCCAGTTGAATCACCAGTCTAACTGACACATAGCAACTTTTAATTCTCCTGCATCCAGTTCCAGTGCAGCATCCACTCTTGTCTAGGCTCTTCCTGTGCTAGTCTTTCATGCACACCAAGTAGAAAGTTCACCCCGTATTACTCATTAGGATTTTCGGATAAGCATTCAATGTCTAGTCTAAAAATGGCTAAATGTCTCAGAATTCCTAAAATTTGTATGCAATTCAAGCATCTTAAAGACGCCCATTTTCCAAAGCAAAGCATTTGTTTTCAGATTGACGAATGTGCTTGTCCTAGCTCATTTCATTACGATATAAAAATCTACTCGCAGAGACGAGAACTTGCTTGATATAGGTAATCCATCACTGTAAACAGAATGTCTTCTTTTGCTTTTGTCAACATTCGGTTGTGGTTGTGCAGGCACGGTTTTGAATATGTAGCTGTTGGTGCATTCAGGTGCTCATGGGAAGGTAGGAAAAAGGCAGAATGTACTTTAAAGACATAGCTGTACCTTGTTAACATGTACTGTACTAGTTTTCACACTCTTAAAAAGGCGGCTGTTCCCCAGTAACACACCTTTCTGTACCTGCTGCAGTAGGCAACGTGACCTTAACAGTAACCAGAATTTATTAGCAGTGGAAAAAAACACATGCAGTGTTTTGAGAGTCCAAACTTCTTTAACTGACACAGTGGTCCGTTCTATCTTCCTTGCTTTACTTATTAATGCCTATTCTATCTAAACACCATCTGTCCTTTCCAAAGTTGTTGTACTGTGACCTTTAGGAATGTCACAGGCCAATATTCTAACTGTGTGATATTGGTATCTCAAGAAGATTTAAGCAAGCAGTCACATGTTGAAGTGTTTTGGGGACATAAATCATATGCAGCTGATTAGTTTTCATTTTCACTGACTCCTACAAATTAAAATAATAAGAGTCATAATGGCTTAGTAAACATTACGGTCTTTTAAATGACTTTCAGAGAATGATCTTACCGGATTGTGTTAATTTCCCAACCTTTAAAGATCCAGAGTGTAACATTTATGAGGAGTTATTGGCAGAAAGGGAATAAAATATTCGTAGGTATGTTTTCATTAGTGTAAAATAATTTGATTATAAGAATCGTTGTGTTTTCGTTACCTTAGAATGAGGCATTTTTATTTACAGAGGGAGCGGGTCCTCTTTAATGGAGTCTGCCATGTTGAGTCGCCATGTTTCTACAGTAGCCAGAGCAGACAAACCAAACACTGGCTCCAGATAGGGCCTTTCACGTTTTTCGCGAACCACACACAACGTACCAGGGTTTGGTATTTTCTTAGCTCTAGATTACATTGGTTATAATCACATTGTACTCACTAAAAGTAATTTCTGGGACCCGGGAACAAATCAACTGAACGATGTTAGACAGGTCAACAAACAGGAGCGATCAGTCAGGCTGTAAAGAAGCCAACAGGTTAGGCAAACTTATTTGTAAAATGTGTGAATTACAATAGCAAACTGAATCGTGGTGTCCTGCCCTGGGGGCAAATTTGTGACACCTGTGCGAAAGATAACCTTGAATACTAATGCAAAATCAATCTGCATCGTTACCTGTCAGTTCGGTGTGAGTCAAGCTAGCGAACAGTGTGAACATGCTGAAAGAAAGTCTGCTTTCCTCACATGAACCAGCTGAGCTGTTCCATATCAGCCCTCTCAAACATTCACAGTAATTACCTTCCCATGATTTTTGCTTTGTGATTCTCGTCTTGTCAATATTGCAGCTGAAATCCATTATTTAATGTTTTCTCTCCCTGTTCTCTCTTTCTCCTCTCCTTTAGGTGAGTGTCAGTCAACAACGTGTGGATTATTCCAGTCAGCTGTGAACTCCTGCTGAGTCCGTCTGCATTGCCTTTTTCCTTGCACATCTTTGTATGATTCTGCCATCAGGTTTGAAAAGATTGCCCCCTTTCCACTGTGATTCGCTGTGATTTTGATCAAAGAGAAAAGACAGTGTGCCCAGAGAGACGCGCTTCATGCAGTGGAGTACCATGGCGGATTCTCCTCGGCAGCTCTGGTTGCTGTTGGCTTGGGCCATATGGAGATAAAAGCCAATGTTTGGGGTGACTGAGAGCTTTGCTCTTTGTCAGATGTTATTTGTGTTCATTGTCTCGGGTTGACTTGATGTGTGTTGACTCTGTTAGCTTCCAGGGAACTGAATGGTTACTGTATTTAGGGAACCTTTATTTGTCTGTTTTGGGACTACTTGTTATTCAGTGGTGTGCTCTCCAGCTTCTAGTGTTTACTGCAGAATGTGGGCTGATTACTGATTACTGCTGACTGGAAATGGAAAGTAATCACTAGCTTGAGTATTCTTTTCTTAGCAAGTCCTTACATTATTTCTGAGTACATTTAAGTGTTGTGTGTTTTTGGTTTCTGCAGATTTCTTGAGTGTGTGTGTTTGTGTGTGTGTGTGTGTGTGTGTGCCAGAAAATCTCTGACCTTCTTCAAACAGTTTCATTAAAGGAATTGTTGGTGAAGAGAATGAGCAGCTTGACATTGAAGTGTTTATCCATAGCAGTTAGAGTTAAAGAAATGCCAAAATGGCAGTACAACTTGGCTTTCTATAGGAATAGTCCAACAGACTCAACAGGAGTTAATAGTCTAATGCACTCATTCCCAACCCTCGGTACCCAGACTTGTCTGTTTTAAGAGGGTGTAAAAAAAACTTTTATTTGAATTTTACTGTAAAACTATAGTTCATGATTTCCTAACCCTAACCCTTTCAATACAGAACAACTTTATAAAAAGTGACCACCACCAAATCAAATCGCTCGTTTTACGCAAACTTCCTGCAGTCATTACGTTCTCTATTTTGGTTAACTGTATGGTTTGTCAGTGTTATTGTTATGCATTGAATAAAATATGAAATATCCACAAAATATATCACTTAGTCAGTGGTTGTCAGTTTACTCAATTATAGAAAAGGGTTCTCTTAAGGAAAAAGTTTGGGAACCGCTGGTGTAGTGAGAAGCAATATTGGAGTATATTGAGTTAATTCTATTTGATTTATTATTGTAATTCTTCAGTAATCAAGTAAGACAGTATATATCAAAATACATGAGGGAAGCAGTGTTTTGTCAAACTATAGTTTTCATCATAAACCCCTGTGCTACATTTCATAATCTGCTTTATCCGTGTGTAGACGTACAAATATGGCCACATAGTAATTGGTAAATAACAGAGATGCATACTTCCTCTACGGTTATAACATCGGTGTTTACACCACTGGTCCCCCCCATTTAATTCATGATGCTTGATTAGATTTTTAGTCACCTTGCTACATAAATTAGTATTTTAATGAGGAAAATGGCAGGACATTAGCAGCTTTACTGCTTCTTGTGTTACATGATTAAATGCATGTTCTATGATTTAGGGAATAAATTAAGACTAAGGTGATTTCATTGAAAATAAAGTAAACAAAGCAGACCCAGAGTATGACGCAGCACCCTGACACACAACATTTAAAAAGCATAGTATTATATTATTGTGAGTGTTACACATAAAGTTGTTTTTAGGCTTTCTGTCTGCCGATCCAGCAGAGCAACATATCCCAACAACAAGATTTCACTTCGATGTGTTTTGGATATTAATGGACCCCAGAAGTTAAATCCTATTACTTTTAGTGACCTCTTGACCTTACCTATGGTGCCACTGTCAGGTCAAAGACAAGACAAGTTGTCTTAAGAAACCAATGGCCAGCTTTTCATGAAACTTGCTGTGGATGTTCTTGGTCACTGGAGGTTTCTGTTGACCTCCTTAATAATGGCATTAACATTTATACTTCTGAATAAGAAATATTGATTTTTGAAACATCATGGAGATTGCCCTGGGGTTACCTAAAAGCATTCATACCAACTCGAAGAACTATTTATGATGTAACAAATCATGCTCATAGGCTCCACCCCTTAAAATCAGATTTTCAATGAGCACTCAGAAACTTTCCACTTTCAGCACATGAATTTGAAAACATCCTTCTAGTGTCGAACTCTGCACATACATCATTCTGCACAGTGAAGCTCAAACATCCAACTGTAGGAACAAGAAAAAGGTTTGAGTGAAGGGGGTTAGAAGAGTGACAAAAATCACCAGTATATAGTTTATTACCTCCAATACTTTTTTACTGTGGGGTTTAGTGAACACTGTAGCCTCTGGGAGCTACTGGCAGAGCTTTTAACTTTTAGGCTAATTGCTTTTAAATCTCACAAACATTTGCCATCAACAGACGTAATTCGGTCAAGGAAGCATTCGTAAGAAACCACTATGAAATATTGATGGCACGATTTGCAGGCACAATCCTGTTACAATAAAATGTGATGTATTGGTATAATATGTTTTTTTACTCATCCCTGGTGGCTAAAACCAGTCACTCCAGCAACACGGGGATGCATGCACATACACACACTCTAGTGGTCATTAAAAGCTCACGTCACCAGGGGCACATCCCTGGCAGCACCTGCCAAAGCCATTATCTGCCACCCTGTCCTAGACGAACGCTTTGGCATACATCTGAGCAATTAGGCCAGATTATTGGCAACCTTCCTTGGCCTTGCCCCATTATCAAGACCACTAATTACTAGCAGTGTTCAGCACTTTCTCCCTCTCGCTTACTCTGGTACAGGCAGGGGAGGCGGAGTGGAAAAAGATAGGGGGAAAAAACAGACAAAAATGGACGCAAGTGGATGACCAAAGGTGTGAGGTTTCATTAGAGGTAGCCACATGGGAGGATGTGGCAGCTCGGTGACACCTTCCATTTGAGACACCCATACGTTAAGTGTGTGAGAATGTGTGAGGTCCCCATGGGAAATATTTTGTCAGAAAAAGCAGTATCCACGTGTCATCCACGAGTGATTGAAGTCTTTTTGAGTCGTAATGATAGCTGATGACTCATGTTTGTGAGGTGCTGGCTTGTCTGTTGGTTTCGGCAGAGTGGAAAATCATGCCTGCTGGGCAATTGCAGCTTTAATGGAGAATGGCACACAAACAAGGCACATATGGACACTTGCGAGCACGCTCAGATGGACTCACACCCCCTCAATGTGCACACACAGAGACACACATGCGGACCGTACATAACTCCAACCATTTTGGCCCACAGTGCATTAGGGTGAGATTGAACACTAATGGGCAAAATACCATTTTAGGCTGTTTTAAAGAAAATAAAAAAGGAATCATTGGTCAGTATCTACAGATTGGTGATGTCTGTCCACATATTACACAGTTTATATGGGGGACTGTTTCATAAATGCCTCCTTCAAATGCACTCTATTAACCAGGAACACACGTTTTTGTGAAAAGATTTTTTTTTTAGCTGTTAAATGCTTAACTACCCTCAAGCTGGTGATGTTTAACCTGCAAAGATCTAGAACATAAAAGTGTATCTGTATGTTGTTTAATTGTTACATATAAAGGCAGATAAATATATCATGTTTTTCGACTCTGGGCTGACCAAAAACTGCAACAGCACAACCAATACGCTTCCTGTCCGTGAATTTGGTTTGCAGCTGTAGTACTTCTGCAGTATTTCATTTGAATTCTTTTGAATCTGCATTGTTAGTTGCTCTTAGTGCTTTTTGTTGGTTCATATAAAAGAAGAAAGAAAAGAAACATTGATCAAAGAACATTTTCAACTTTAATGGCACCCTCATCAATATTGACCCGATAGCACCCTAAAATCCATAACTTTCCTCTCAGCTCTCGGCCAGTGTTTTGAAATTACAGCGATGGCATCTGAGGGCGCTAATTGGCTCCATAACAAAATCAGGGAGTTCATCTTTAATAAAAAGCTGGATTCTGACAAATGAGATTTAATCAGAATATTGGCTTGATTATTTACCCATGTCCTGTTTATCTCTTAATACCCCCACAGCCCTTGTCCTTTCCTTCCCTACCAAAACACACACACACACACACACACAGGTTAGCTTTTATCCACTCCATAAATCTGTCTTGTCCCGTTGAAAAACTAAAGCCTAGTAAAGGTCTTCGAGACATTCAGAAGTGAAGAAACCTGCATGCTAAGAGCGTGGTCAGTGGAGATATAGCCTCAGACCTCAGCTCTGGCTGACATTACCATCACCAAAGGTCAGATATCAGAGATAGCTTTTTCTTAGCCGCTGAAAAGATAAACTACACACACTCACCATGACATACAAGGAAGCAGCAGTTGCTGTGTGGATATGTGGCACTCTCAGTTTCACTGGATTATAAACTTATTCACTTCATTTCTTTTCCTCACTCCCAATCTCTTTGTCTCCTCCACCATCATCCTATTTTCTTACCCTTCCTATTCTCCTTCCACAAAGTCTGGCCCTCCGCTGCAGCAGACTGAGCACAGCGTGAAGCCTGGAAGGAATGGAAATTAAGGCTTATTAATTCTCCCTGGTGGCCGAAGGACCAGGAGTCTTGGCCATGACACAAGACTTTGGAAAGCAGAGTGGGAGAAGGCGGGCGCTTGTCTTAGGGTGATTTCATAGCAGACATATTTGGAGAGCTTTATTTGAACTCTGGAGGGTTTATTCCTTTAATTTGTTTCTTTTGGGCAGGACAGAGCGATGCCATTTCAAACAAATAACCACACAGAGACTGCTGGAAACGCAGACCTCAGTTCTCCTTCAAGCAAACTGTGGCTTGGTTTATTAGAAGGGAGAATGTAATCGGTTCAGCAACAGGAAACAACCTCAAACACATGCTTTTATTGGTATGAGGGGGGTGGAGTCAGGGGAGTCAAAATAACCATGGCAGCAAAGCAATTTTTTTTCCACTATGGTTTTTAGACCAAAGACAGTGAACTGTATATGGGATTAAAACCATGATGAGGTTCAGGCAAGAAAACAGAAAGGGAGTTAGGAGAATGAAATGGTGCCTGGGAAGTGTAAAACTGTTTGTGTATCGTTTGTATATCAGAGTACTGATCTGGTCCATGGATGAATGGATACAGTTGGTGTTAGCTGAGCTGTATGGTCTACTGAGAGCGTTTGCATGTGGCTGAAAATTGCAGTTATAATAGAAGAAAGGATGTGAGCAAACCAGACCAACGGAGACACCATATTCTGATTGCTACGGTCGACTATATTAGTGTGGGCGAATAAACAACCTTCCGCTTTAATGATAAGCATAGTTTCTGTAACATATCAAATGAAATTTTTTACTGGTATAATTGGGCTGAAGAAAAAGCTAGGGATGTTCATCGAAGCATAAACATGCTTGATATATAAATATACAAAGTTTGTTGTGAACCCTGTGACCCTGTAAGCAAAAGTTACTGTCTTACTTTACTTTAAAGACCAAATTGGTGTCTGCATGTTTTGTTTCCACAATTGAGAATTAAATTAAACATTTTAAAAAGCATGAAATGGTGTTTTTCCTCCCTTCAAGGCCACCTTTTTTTTTCAGTTTTAGAACATTA